TGTACCTCGATGGGGGTCGAGGTTCTTTCGATGCTTGGTCGCGATAGGGATTCTTGTATGACGGATTTGTTCCCGCCCTTCTTTATTATGCTCGCGAGCTTTGAAAGTACATCGGCCCTTGTGTTTTGCTCACGCGGGACGTGTGATATTTCTGCTTGGTCGAACCTCTTCATGTATTCTCTGACTAAGTTCAGGTATTCAATGAGGCTATTGTTTTTATCCTGGTAGCTCCCTTGGACCTGGGAAGCGACGAGCTGAGAGTCCGTGAAGATTTGCACTTCATATGCCCCTAGGTCCTAGGCTAGCCTAAGCCCCGCGAGTAGGGCCTCGTACTCCGCTTGGTTGTTTGAAGTCGGAAAGGAGAGGGTGAGCGAGTGCTCGATCACTACGCCCTCCTCGTTTTCCAGGAGGATCCCCGTGCCGCTTCCAGATGAGCTGGATGCTCCGTCGACGAAGATGGTCCATTTGTGCTCTTTCCCTGCGGGGGGGTTGTGAGCGGTCATTTCCGCGACGAAGTCGGCCAGAGCCTGCGCCTTTAGGGCTTTCCTGCTCTCGTATTGAATGTCGAACTCAGAAAGTTCCAGTGACCACTTCAACATTCGACCTGCCATGTCAGGTCGACCCAAGAGTTGCTTCACTGGCTGGTCGGTTCTTACTATAATCGTGTGAGCGAGGAAATAGTGTCTTAGTCTCCTCGCCGCGTTGACGAGGGCTAGAGCTACTTTCTCTATCTGTTGGTATCTGACCTCGGGTCCTTGCAGTGCTTTGCTCGTAAACTAGACGGGATTTTGTCCGTCGGGCGTCTCGCAAATGAGAGTCGCGCTGAAAGCTTCGTCCGAGACCGCCAGGTATATGACCAATGGTTCCCTGGCTTCGGGCTGTGATAGAACGGGCGGTTGGGATAGGCTTTGTTTTAGGTGGCGCAACGCCTGTTCACATTCCTCGGTCCATTCGAAGGCTGCCTCCTTGCGAAGGAGCTTGAAGAAGGGGAGGGTATGCTGGGCGGATCTCGCGATGAAGCGGGATAACGAGGTGAGCATGCCGTTCATGACTTGTATGGACTTTTTCGAGGTGGGCGTCGGGAGGTAGGAGAAGGCTCGACATTTGTCGGGGTTAGCTTTAATTCCTCGTTCTGTCAGGTAAAACCCGAGGAATTTTCCCGCCTTGACCCCAAATGTGCACTTCTCGGGGTTGAATCCTATCTTACATTGCCTTGCTTGGGCGAAGACTTCTTTGAGGTGAGTTGCATGGTCGGTATCTTCTCGGGATTTGACGATCATGTCATCCATATACACCTCGAGCATGTCCCCGATTTGGTTGTGGAACACTTTGTTCATCATATGTTGGTATGTTGCCCCTGTGTTTTTTAGACCAAAGGGCATTACGTTGTAATAATAGTTGCCCGAGCTGGAAATGAAGGCCGTGCAATGCTTGTCGCTCACGGCCATTGGGATTTGGTTATAGCCCGAATAAGAATCCATGAATGACAGTATTTTATAACCGGCCGAGTTGTCGACCAACATGTCTATGTTTGGTAAAGGAAATGCATCCTTCGGGCATGCCCGATTGAGATCAGTATAATCAACATACATTCGCCATTTTCCATTATTCTTTTTGACTAGTACAACATTTGACAGCCAGGTTGAATACCGGGCTTCGGAAATAAAATTTGCCTCTAAGAGGTCTTTTACAGCTTTTTCAACAGCCTCTGTTTTCTCTGGGGACTACCTACGTCTACGTTGTACTACTGCCCTAGCGGCTGGATCTATGGCGAGGCGGTGACAAGCGACCTCGGGGTCGAGTCCGGGCATCTCTGCAGCACTCCACGCAAATAGGTCAGCATTCTCGCGCAAGAAGGCTTTGATCTGCTTCCTCGCCAGGTCGGGGAGGCCGATACCGATCTTCACTCCTTTTCTCGTGTCTTCGCCCAGGGGGACGAGCTCGAAGTCTCCGTCCGGAATTGGTTAGAGGGGGACTTGCTCGCCGCTGGGAGGCTCATCCTGGTCGAAGCGGGTGTCCAGGGATATGGAGTCGACCTTTGGGGGAGCTCTCTGCTCTTCTGCCACGACGAACTCTGACTTCTCGGGCTCTGGTCGTGTCGTTGCTGGTCTCTTGGCGGGTCTTGTCCCGGTGTCGACCGTGTCGCATCCTTTGGATGCTGAGTTGAAACATCTTCGGGCGGCTGCTAGGTCACCTTGGATGGTGGCGACCTGTGCCCTCTTGGTGTAAAACTTCATCTTCAAGTGGACGGTAGAGGGTACCACGGTCAGTTCTGCCAATGTCGGCCTTCCCAAAATGTAGTTGTAGAGGGACGTGCAGTTGATGACGAGGAAGCGCACCTTGACCTGCCTGGTCGCCGTGTCCTCGCCAAAGGTAACCATGAGTTCGATGTATCCCCAAGGTTTGGAGGTCGAGTCGTTGAAGCCCTGCAGGTCTGACCCCACATAAGGTGAGAGGTGCGAGTCGTCGAGCTGTAGGGTCCGGAATAGTTGACTGTACATTACGTCGACGGAACTTCCTTCGTCAACGAGGACACGGTGTACGTCAAAGTTTGCCATTCTCACTCTTATTAGAAGAGGAATGACCGTGTTGGGGGCCCCTCCGGGAAGCTCTTCGAGGTAAAAAGTGATAGGCTCCGATCTACCTTTCACCCTTTCAAAGGTCACCGTCTTAGGAGGTGTAGAGTCGACCAATTCATCCATCTTCCTCTTGGATGAATTTATGGTCAGGTCGTTGAACCCCCCACCATTGATGACCATGGCGGAGGGAAAACGCTCCCACCTATTGTGCGTTGACAACGGTTTTTGCAGGTGTTCGGGGACGTAAAAGTCCACGGGTCTGGTGACGGAGAAGGCGATCTGCATGGGGACCGACTCGTCAGATGGTCGGGCATCCTCTTCCGCTTCCCTTATCTCACGGGCGTTCCGACGAGGAGCGTCGTTTCACCGATACTGGGCGAGCCTCCCTCCTTTTATGAGGGTTTCGATGGCGTCCTTGAGGTGGACGCAGTCCTCCGTCAGATGACCATGGCTCCTATGGTACTGACAGTATTTGCTCCTGTCTGCCCCGGGCTTGGCAGGAGCTGGTCGGGGGCGCTTGACGCCACCATCCTCGAAGTTTGTACTAGCACACTCCACCAAGACGCGCTTGCGGGAAGCCGTGAGCGGAGTGTACTCTGTGAAACGCCCCGAGGGTCCTCTCTGTTCTCGGACTTCTCGGGGTTTGTCGTATTTTCTTTTCTCCCCGGTCCGTCGAGGAGGAACGACTTCTTGGCGTGGGTTGCTATTGGATCCGCGAGTTCTGGGGTCGTGGGCTCTGTTGGCTACCTCCCTTTCCTCGTAGTCCATGTAGGCCCTGGCCTTCTCGAGGAGAGCATCGAACATTCGGGGTGGTTCGATGCCTACTGCTTTTCTGAACTCGGTGCTGGGGAGGAGTCCCCTATCCAGCAAGTATCTTTTCATATGGTCCGCTTAGGGGGCCTGGATGGCTTCACGGTTGAAGCGGTTGATGAACTCTCTCAAGGTTTCATCCTGCCTTTGGATGATAACCTCGAGCGCTGCTTCGGTCTTCGGATGTCGCTGTGACGCGATGAATGAGCTTACGAATTGGTTTTTCAAGTTTCTCCATGAGGTGATTGACCCCGGGGCAAGACCCTTGTACCAATCCATTGCTGCTTTCCTGAGGGTCGTGGGGAATAACCGGCATTTGATGGGTCCCCCAATGTTATGGTAGTGCAATATAGCTTCGAACCCATCTATATGATCGACCGGGTCGGCGACTCCGTCGTATTCCTTCAGGTGAGGGGGCTTCTCTATGCCCGGGGGAATAGGTGCCTCCATGATGGCTTGTGACAGGGGACCGCGGGGGTCGTTCTCGTCACTTCGCTCTGGAGAAAGGGACGGGGACCTGAGGTACTGTCGGGCACATTCGGTGATGGTCCTATTGTGAGCATTCCCCGAGGAGCTGCTTGGATCTGGGCCTTTATTTTCACTTTGGGCCAAGGTGGGCCCAGTCTAGAATAATATCCATGTGCCACGAGTGTAATCATCCACAACGGTTAGAAGGTAATGTGATCCATTGGTTTCTAATTTGTTTTTCCTTGTGGAATATATCACAACAGTCTATTCTATCAAAGTTATAATTGACTAAATATGAAATATGTTGAAGAAATTGATTTTAGGAATGTCCCATTCTAATATGCCATAAGGTTTCCATGTCCTTTTTAGCTGCACCTATGGAGCCTTGTTGATGTTGTTTTGTGAATACATAAACTCCTTTATTTTAATTTATGATTTGAAATCAGGAACCAATAACACATCTTTTAACATAAGGGAATTTGAAAAATTCACATCTCCCATACTTTCAACTTAGGTTGAAATCTCTGTTGGTGTTGTTATGTAGAAAGTTTTATCTAATTTTCTGATTTTTTTCCAATATTGAGGTGAAAGTAGTCATGTGGTGTGAAGCACCACTATCAAGTATCCAATTGAAACAATATTCAAATTTACCAGTCATGTTTTCATGTGGGTTTGTATGATTTTTGGCATGAACTTCATGTAGGGCATGTCCTAATGTTGATGCTTCTGGATATTCTTTTCTTTTAGTGGCTTGAGCAAGATTTTCTACTTGTTTCCCTCTTGGTTTGTTAGGTTCTCTCCTTTGAGTTCTCCGTGATTCCCAATTTTCTGGATATCCAACAATCTCAAAGTATTTTTCCTTGACATGTCCGATTTTACCACAATGACCACATTATAATCTCAAGTGGTATTCCTTTCCTCTCTTCCTATCTACATCTAAGTAAAATGCATATGTGTTTTCAGTCTTGGAGTCTCTTTCTCTATCTGCTGTAAAACAAGATTCTTCTCTTTGAATTTGATTAAAGACACGCCTAAGAGAGGGTAATGAATCAGTATTAAGTATGGTTACCTTGACATGTGAGTATTGCTTATTATCAAAGCCTTCAAGAAAGAGATGGATTCACTATTCTTCTTCCCTTTGTGTCAACACATTAAAAGCTCACAATTGCATTCAGGTAGGGTTTGCAATTCACTCAATTCATCAACAAAACTTTTGAATTGAGTGTAGTAATATGTTACGTTTGTTTTTGGTTGTTTATGCATTAAACACAAGTTTCTCCATAGCTGATGGATTTGCGGTGCATTGGTTTGAGCAAAGCGTTCTTCAAGATCTGCCCATACATCTTGAGTCGTTGAAGCATGTGAGATGTTGTTGTGTAGATTTGATTTTGTCGCATTGATCAACCAAGTCGTCACCATTGACTCTGCTTCTCCCAGTCATGATATACTTCATATTAACTTTATGATTTCTTAATGCTTCCATCAATGAAATCTAATTTCGTCTTCACACATAAATTCGTCTTGATTGATCTTGACCATGTAATAAACCGATAACAAACCTAAAAAAATCTAACGAACCTAGAAAATAGTATAAAACCTAATAAACCGATAACAAACTATTAAATACTAATAACAAACTATTAAATATATCTCTAATACTTATATAAAAGTAACTTGATTTCATGTCTTTGAAAAATATTTTAAAAATTGCATAGTTTAATTTTTTTACTAATATTGTGATCATATCTAATATATTTCACTAAATCTATTTGTTTTATATCAAAAGTAACAACTCTATTATTATAATCTTGATATATAAATATGGTGACGTCTAGTGTGAAGGAGCAATTAAATCTCTCATTCTCTCACTAGTGGACTATGACAAAAATACTATTTGATTTTATTAATGGTTCAAATTTATTAAAAATTGAAATAAGAACATTTATTAATTTTCCCATACAACCACTATCTCTTTCTCACATGCCTTCTCCCAAAATCCTTATGAATATATGCAATTTTTTAAAGAAAAAAGAAGACCCAAATGTTAGTAATAGTTGTCATTATAAAAAAAGAGAATTTAACACGAAAACATCATTATCGTGTCGGTGAGAAGAGGTTCAACATCTGAGATGTTGGATTAATCATGGTAATAACTGATGAAAGAAGGGAAGGAGTTAATTAATATAGATTCATGATCTTTAGGAATTTTTTTCACTATCAGTGTTGGAAAGCTTCTTAAAGAATTTATGCTCTTTTTTTATTTAAAGTTTTTCTCTTCTTACCTTTGACAAATATATTGATATTCAATAATTTCTATATGGTTGAAAACATGATTCTGAATCTGTTAAAAAAACATCGATGATTGTTATTATTAATTTTTTTAAGATCAACTAATATTTTAGGAAACCTTAAAGAAAGAAAGAAAATCAAAGAATGAAGAGGAGGTATTTTTTCCCCATTAATTCAATCAATGGAGTATGGTCTACAAAGAGAATGAGAATAAGGTAGATGTTTGAAATTGTGTAGATATTCTCATTATACTTTTAACAAATCTAGACCATAGAACAAATCTTAAGATAAATATTTTTTAGTACACCCATAATTATGAATTTGATGTAAAATTTTGTTATTGGTAGTTATTGGTTGTTGTAAGTAACTAACTAAAACTGTTATTTAGTTTAACTACTTTTTTAACTTTGATTTTCCTTATGTGTAAAGTGTCACTTGTATGTAAAAAACAATACCATTCATTGAGATACTTCACTACTTTCTCATCATATATTTCATGAACTAAAATATGGTATCAAAAGTAATTTTGTGTTGCTTCCGCACCTTCTTCTTCATTCTCTATCTAGTGGTCTTTTTCTCCTCCTCTCAGTGGCAAATCACAATGATCACTATTATCTTTATTCATCTGATCATCTTGGGGTTGTTCTTGTTTCACAACCTTTAACCGGTGATAACTTCAACTCTTGGCATCATGCAATGTTAATGGCTCTTGATGGCAAGAACAAAACTGGTTTTGTGGATTGCACGCTTACAAAGCCAGAAGATCATTATCCTCAATACCGTTCATGGACGCACAACAACAACATCGTTTCATCTTGGCTGCTTAAGTAAGTTTCCAAAGAGATCTCATATAGTGTCACTTATGTTGGAGTGCAATTGTGATGGAGTGGAACCTATCGTGGATCATCTTCAAAATATCATTCTGCCCGCACGTTCAATTATGGTGGAGTGCGGCCTATCGTGGGCCATTTTCAAAATGAGCACATTATCACATTCTTACTAGGACTTAATGAGTCTTTCAATCAGGTTTGTGGCCAAATTCTCCTCATGGATCCCCTACCTTCTATAAATGTTGTGTTATTAATGGTTACTCAAGATGACAAACAAAGAGAGGTTACATCTACCTCGAATCCCACTGAAATGCCTATCGTGTGTGATGTTCAAGCTAGAAACACCAAGACCTTCAAGAAAGATAGGCCAACTCATGCTTATTGTGGTGTTGTTGGTCACCTTAAAAAGAGTGTTTAAAGTTTCATGGATATCCTCCAAGATACAAGAAACCTCAGAGCTTCAAGATAAAAATCAAATCCATAATGTGAATGATCATGGTACCGCAGACACAAATCCTCTTTCTAATATGACAACAATGAATTCACAAAATTACTAGAAGATCATTAATTTCTTGCAAGAACAGATGACCAAGACTAGAGTATCTGAAGCAAACTCTTCTGTGAGTTCAGCCATATGTATGATATTTTCCAATATTGACTCTCATAAATCACGTTTTTCTAGAAAATGGATAGTAGATTCAGGTGCCACCTCTCACATATGTTGTGATATATCTTCCTTTGAGTCACACAAACCTTTACTTGACAAATTTGTCACACTTCTAAATGGAAATACCTATTAAAGTCATAAGTGTAATACAATGGGAGAACTGACTTGTGTGTTTTGCGTTTTATCGCAAATGTTGCTGATAGCAAGAGTCGCTACCAACTTTTCTTTTATCCAATAAAGGAAAGGGTGAAAAGAACAGGAAAGACCTTTTGAGAATTTTCTTGAGTTAGAGGGGTAGGTTATGAAAATGAAAGCTGTTAGCACCCTTTTCATCCGTATTCATCTACGGGTTCTTAATTGCTTGATCATTTTGAAAATGCTTTGTGTTTGTGTATGTTAGAAAATGTTTAAAGATGTTTTGAAAGTGGTGATTTTATAATGATTCTCGTATCGTTGAGAATGTATACAAAATGTTTGTTTTTGGAAATATTTTGAAAATGCCTTAATAGGGCAAACTTTGTAATGATTCTCGTATCGTTGAGAACGCATACAAAATGTTTGTTTTGAAAAGTATTTGAAAGTGTGAGGTGTAAAGATTGTTTTAATTTGTGAGAAAGCAATTACGAGAAATCTACCTACTCAAAAAGTCTTTCTTCTTTTCCTCCTCCTTTAGATAATGCTTGTCTACCATTAGTTAGTAGAAAACCATATCATTGAATGTGAGGGACACGCGTGGGTCATCGTACAGTTATAAAAGGAAACTTGTAAGGTGTTTTAGCAATTGTCGTAAAGGACTAAGATTGTTTACCGAAGGCAACATCAAAGAGTCATCGAGGGACTACAATATTTTAATCGAGGGTCTTTGCTAAAACACTCCACATTCGAGGGACATGACTGTTTATATATGAGGCAACAAATATTGGTTACCCTAGAGGTGCATGTGTGCAAGGTGCGTTTGATTTCAAGTATTTTATCTTTGAATTAGGGTTTTACTAGGTTTGATTTTAGTCTTGTCATGTAAACCCTAATTACTATCAATAATAAGGAAAGCGATAAATTGTGGAATTTAAATATCCTACGCTATTACAATGCTTTGGGAATGGGGGATACAATTTTGTGAGTGAGGGAGGAAAGCAAAAAAACTAATTATCTATTAGAAATCATATACATAAATGATAATGCGAAATAATAAAATATACAAAGATGTAAAGATGAAGAAAAGAAAATTATTTTTTAGGGTTTTTGATGGGGAAAAGATTTGATAATTAATCCTAATTAAACTAATTAATTTTAATTTACAAGAGAATCTAATTAATATTTTAAATAAAACCTAAAAAATTTAAGTTAATTAAAATAAAACCTAAGTCTAATTTAATTTGTTTAAAAAATAATTTAGATGTCAATGTTAATAAAGAAAAATGTTTTGCAATGTATAAAAATAAAATAATAAAATCTAATTTAATTTAAAAAGTGTTTAAATTTAATATTTTTAATTTAATTATTTAATAATATATATATATATATATATATATATATATATATATATATATATATATATATATATATATATATATATATATATATATATATATATATATATATATATATATATATATATATATATATATATATATATATATATATATATATATATATATATATATATATATATATATATATATATATATATATATATATATATATATATATATATATATATATATATATATATATATATATATATATATATATATATATATATATATATATATATATATATATATATTTGCATTTTTGGTTAAAATAAAAATAAGAAAATATAAAAAATATTTAGTCTGGGTGCTAAAGAGTAAACTCGGGGTTAAGAATTAGCAAAAAGGACCCAAGTATATTTTTTGTTTGAAACAGAAAGAAAAAATAATTTGGATGGGCCTGCGTTGTTTTTAGTAAAAAGGGGGTATTAGAAAGTAAAAATAAAAAAAATAAAAAGTCCCAATTTCTGAGAAGCCCAACGCTATTTATGATTCAGTGTTGCTGGCTTTTGAGGGTGCACCATGAGTTAGCTCATGTGGAGCGATGGATTTGATTGCATGATGATCATGTGGTGTGGATGAGAGGTACATGATGAGCGCTCCCAGCCTGCTTGCACTGAATCTGAAATAGAAAATTATGTGAAAAATAAAAGGGTACCGTTGGGGCTCGAACCTAGGTCCCTATAGATCAATGCCTTAGCGCGCGCTTCTCTGCCACTGGGATGACTTTCATCCGTTTATAATACAACTTCAACTAAATATAAAATAAACTCATTTTTGAACATGACTTCATCCCTAACCTCACCCCAGTCACCATTGTCACATTTTTGAATTTTCTTACTTGCTCATTTCTCAACCATTTTCAAAAATGTAAACATAAAAGTTGTTCCATTTTTCAACAGGAATTCAACCATATAAATCTCATAAGCTATAAATCAAATATGAATGAGAATTTTGTTGGTACCAAATTAAAACCTAATTTTTTCAGAAAGTTCAAACTCAAAATCCGCATCACTCAAGCAACATAAATGAAAACTAAAGGCATGGTTAGCTTCAGGGCTATGATGTGTACATTTTTCATTCACAAAGTAACCATTAATG